ATCCTCACCCGTCGCCTGCAGGATGACCCGGCTGGACGGCGTGGGTTTGCTGGACCTCTCGACGAATTCCACGGTTTTGCCATTTACACCGAAATAACATGGAATTTTGTCAAAAAAGTAGAGGCCTCTTGGTCTACCTATCATCCAGATCCTGACCTCAGTCCCAGCACCCGCTTCCCCTCTTGCGAATCCCTATCCAGCCATAGGTGCGCCTTCACATCGGGAGGGAGAGATGTGATTGCTACCTAGCCCCTCCCGCCTACTGCCAAACCCTTCCCCCGAAACCTCAGATACCCTTACCATCAGTAACAGGAAAAATAGACTTGTCTCCGAGCTGTATAAGCTTGAACTGGACGTTCGAAGTTGCCTCTTTGTAGGTCGCATCGCTGTCATCAAAAAGAGGCCGCCACGATGCTCTGTAGCCCCGTCTCCGATGAAAGCAATTGGAACAACGCTTGCTGACTCTTGGTGGCCATCGAATGCTGTCCTGGCTCGTCAAGCAGCAAAATCCCCAAGTGATTTCCGTTGACTGTTGGATGAGCAGATGTCTGATAGATGGAGAGCAAATAGCTCCATATGAGACGGACAAAGTCACTGGCACTGGACTCTCGAGCGATATTGCCTTTCCCTTTGGGGGTGTCATCACTTCGGGCAACTGCTGAAGTAGTCGAGACTGCAGGTGTAGACGACGGCATACTCCGCTCGTTGATCTCTCTGAGCTCGATTTTTGCCAAGTACGGCAGTAGGTTTTCCTTGTTGAACTCGATGTCCTCAATCGCCGCGCTGTGGTAATCGAAGGCACTGATATTTGCGCGAAACATTTTTTCGAATAGCCGATACTTGGCGAAGTCGGCATCTGAGTAATGGGTTCGGGGTATCTGCGCGCGGTTTTTCTGGTTCTCGTGGAAACGGTTTGCTAGTTGTTCAAAGGCGTCCAGTGCTTGATCAGAGTACGCTTCGAATTTGGAGAGCTCTTCGAGCTCCATCTCGATCTGTAATTGGCGTCTGATGCCTGATTTAGATACGGAAGAGTTGGAGGTCAGATCTGAGCGCAAAGCTCTCATTGCAGACTTGGTTGTTGCAATATTTTTAGCCAGCTGTTCTTTAAGTGCTTCCGCTTCCTTAATCGACTGATCGATGCCGCCTCGCTCGCGTTCAAGCATTCTGAGTTGAGCGCTCAGATAGTCAATGTTGGTACCGATGTCCATATGAGGAGTGCTCTCATGTAGATCGACAAGAGAGTGTCCGATGGATTGATGGCACGCGGGGCAAGCGTTTTCTGCGGTGGACAAACTGAGCGAAGCTCCGAATTTTATGAGCTTTTGCGCGGCTTGGTTTTTAGTCAGTTCGTCTCGGGCTTGCTTAGTGTTTAACCTATTGCTGGTAGTGTTAACACGCAGCAATGCAAGGTTGCTTAAGCAGGTCTCGTAAGCGACTGTGAAGCGTTCGAGCTCGCTGGTGAGTTGTTCTATGGAGTGTGTTAACTCCTGGGTTGGCGCTTCACCCTGTTGGGTTAATCTCAGGCCAATGATTTCATGCTCGCTGACCTTGCGTACTCGATACTCCGAAATGCTTTCAGTTACGCCTTCCGTCGTTTTGTAGAAGTCGACAAGTTCGGCCTTAAAGTCGGAATCTGGTCTTTTGGAAATGTTAGAAAATTGCAAGCCTTGCTTTAGTGTTTCGGTGACAAGTGTTCGATAAGAAATTTGCCATTCTTCGTGGATTGACTTTGCCTCCTGATCCAGGATGTCACGCTTTGCATCTGTTTCGAAGACGTCAGTTCCCACGAGGAAGTCGACAATTTTAATCCGTGCATCCCGGATCCCGAAGTAGGGTAGATTGGCGATGTAGTCAGTCCACCCACGTTTTTGTTCAACCATCATTGCAGCAAAAACGTACTGCAAATAAAGTTTTTCAGGTTTGCCATTGGTTTTAGGTACCAAAGGCAATGCCAAGTCTAGGAATTTTTCGAAGTAGGTGTAGAAGCCTTCCTCAATTTTCGCGCTGCCACCGTCATGAAGAAACTTGTAGAGAGTGGGAGCGGTCTGTCCCTCGGTCAGGCTCGAACACTCCTGTATTTGTATAAGTTTTGTGCTAAGTCCTTCTTCTTTCACACTTCGAGTGGCAGTAATTGTTTTGCCTTTGTTCTCAATTTCGATTGTTACTTTGGATGAGCGAATAGCATGTTTGATGTTCTCATGTTCAAGGTGATCTTTTAGGGCGTAAGTCAGCGCATTTTCATTCTGGGCACCTAGTAATTCTTCCATGCCAATAGCGTACATGATCGCATGTACAATTGTACTTTTGCCGGCGGAATTACGGCCCCTGATGATGTTAAGATTACGATTGAAAGTAGTAAAAAATCCAAACGGGCCGCTGGCTGTCTGGATATCAATCTTGATCGCCTTAATGTACATAATTATTCCCATCCCTTGGAAACGGAATCTACCATGTCTTCCGTAATTTTTTTTCCGATTGATTTTAGGGCGGCTTTTTCCTCGCTGAGTATACTTTCGTCAGTAAGTATCAGGTTCACGTAGGCTTTTCCTTTGGGGCTGAGTTCAAAGCCGTTCGTTGTGGGTGTAATCAGGGAATCCTTGAATGCAAGGTTCAATGCAATTGCCATGGCCGGATCAAAACCCCAAATGGGGGAGATGTAATTGACCATGTTCTGCTCCTATTGCAAGACCTTTTATACGTTCGGGAGTTTTGAGCGCCCAGTTTAGAAGATGGATTTTTGGAAGGCTGCCTTTTGCACCACGGCACGACAGATACAGTATAAGAAGTGCTTGCGATATTTTGTATATTGGACGAAGTTCTGAAAGAACGGGGATGGGCCGCCTTGTGAATTTAAGCTGAGCCATAATTTACTCGTTGAAGTCCAGTTCACAGATCGCAAGCCAGCGAGCAATGGTTCTTCGCACCACCTCGCTTGCCGTAGACTTGTCAATGTTTAGGTTGCGGTCGGTGACCAAGAAATCCATCAGCCTGGTCTTTACCAGTTCTGTTAGCTGCTCAGGTGTTGCATCTGACGTGAGTCCCCATTCTTGAACTTCTAACTCGAAGGCATTTACGATGCGTGCAACGTTTACATAAGTCTGAGGCGAACGGTCGTACAACGACTGAAAATAAGTATCGTGATCTAGAAAAGATTTTGTGGTGAGAACTACCAAGCTTTCCACCTGTCTGGCAGGTTTTCCGGGCATTCGTAAACTACATTTTCTGGCAAGGTTTTCGTCAAATGGCTCAAGAGTCGTATTCACTTTCGGCAACATTTCTGTTGGCGAGCCCAGGCATGGAGGTAAGCCTGCTGATATTCTCAGTGTAGTTGAACTCCTGCACGTAGAATTCATGATCGTGCAGTAGGATGGTGAAGTTTTTGTCTAAGTGCGGTAAGTCCCATGCCCTTACCTCTGCTTGCTTGGTCTGAGCATAGGAGAGCAATTTGTTTCTGTTGATTTCAGGCGTGACGAAACACCACGTTGAAATTTTGGTGTCCCCGAGAATTTTCTGCAATTCTGTGGTGTTTTTTTCTTTAGTTTACCAAGGTCTTTATTAATTTTATCTCTCTGGTTTTCATATAGCTCATCCTGATGGTACTGCTTTTCAGGGCAGTAACATTGAAAGGCATAACCAGTGCGCTTAGTAAAGCCTTCGATGCCATAATCACCCGGAGATGCGGGAACTTGCTGATAACCATCTGCTCCGTGCTTGAATTTGAACACGAGCTGACATTCTGCTTCCCAGGTTATCCCTGTGTACTTACCGAGTGGTGTCGTAATCAATGCATGCCTGCCTTTTTTGAAACTCGTCAGGAGGCGATGCTGATCGTTACCCTCCGAAGTACACTGATGCGGGGCATCAGTCGCCTGCTTTCATCCAGTAGCTTTGGATTCACTTGGAAATTAGCAAAAGGCCATTAGCAGGTCTAGCTGGAACTGGCATATTTAGTGAACAGCAATTTAAGAGCTGTGTTTATGTACAGCTGATCATGGGCGGGTTTCATAACAGGTGCCGATTCGCGAATTAAATTTCTCCAGATGTGAGCTTGGAAGGCGGCAGTGTGCGCCGGAAGGTAAGCTGCTAATCCGGCATTGACTGAGCGTGAAATTCAAAACCAATGAACCACAGTTTTCACTGGGCTCACTCTCTCCAATTTGAAAATTGGTGCTTTGATTGAAGCTGGCTGCTAGATCGTCGAAGCTCTAAAAATTGCGACGGCTTTTGTTCCAGGCTGCACGGCACCGTGCACCGACTCATTCTGCAACGTGCAGTGTCACGGAATCGCCGCTTATCACCAGGTCGAATGCCGGACGGCTGTAAGGTGATCGCACGCGCTCGGCATTGTCTATAGCGAACAGCGCATAGTTGATCCCGCCGGGATGCTGCACAGAGCGATAACTGATGCCATCAAAGTGATGCGGCGCGTAGCAACGAATGTATTCGGCGAAAGCTTGAGTCATCACGTAGTCGGTTTCAGGGCGTTCGATAGGCTGAGCAATCTCGTCGTGGAGATACCTCAAAAGCTGTCGGTGATTGCTGAGCTGTTCATAGTCAGGGCTAAAAAAACTTAACGGCGCATGCTTCAGTCGATGACTCAGTGCATTGAGGTCAAAGATCCTCAGCGGTCTAGTGGACACAAACCCTCCCACCACGACCGTGTCTCCCTGATTGGGTAACACCTCACGGATGCAAGTGCTGGCGTCCTGCGATACGTACATCCATGAAAAGCCTGCGGCGCTCATCCGATTATTTTTTGCGCGATCCAGAGGTGGTGCACCCAACTCGGCCAAAGGGTTGCTTTTGAAATGCTGAACCTCAGTTGGATTGGCTGCGACGCGAGCACGATATAGCTTTGTACCTGAAAGTAGCGTTTTGATGACCGCTGGCGTTCCAGGGCTGCACGGTCTTTCTGCACTCAATGCCTCATGAAGGAGGGATTCAAAGAATTTGCGTGCCTTGTCGCTGAAGAACCGACGCTCATGGCTCAGTTCATAAGCAATGTCTTGCCAGTCACCAACGATCCACCAGCGTTCATGTTCTTCGTCGTCAAAGGGGCTGCGCTTCACGCAATACACTTGGCCTTGCCAGTAGAAGTCGTCTTCACGTACGCGGGAGCTGACCATTTTTGCGCGATGGCTTCGCAGACGACTGAGTTGTTGCATCGAATGGCCCTACTCACCACCTCTGCCAGCGACATCTCATAACCATCATAGAGCCCATCGTCGACAGAAAAGTGTGTCGGTAGGTGCTTGCGTATGAAACGCGCAATTCGTGCGGGATGAACAGCTCGCCGAGTCGAGCTGTTGCACGCGGTACAGGTGACCTCGGACTTAGGCAGCGATTTGAATCCCTTGAGCATAGGATCCCCTATGCATTCGAGGCAAATGAACATCGTGTTGTCATTGCCAGTATCGAAGGGGGCTAGTTCCATAGGGTCGTTCACTATAAAACGCAGTCGTCACTATCAGGGCCGAGATTTTCCGGCCTGGGAGCTGGAGCTGCAGTTCATGAAAGGGAGGGGCGGGGAGAAAATGATTCCCCGGAATGTTAGTTCATATACCTGCTGCACTCTTATGCGCAAGTCATGATCTCTTGCTTACCCATGCATCGTACTCCCTGACAACCTTATACTGGCATCCTACAGTTCGGAGCCTGCATGACTACGTTGCCAATCGATGCCGCCCTACCGGCCCTTCTAATTGCGTTGAATGATCGCAATGAGGTCGTACTACAAGCGCCTCCTGGAGCAGGTAAAACCACGCGAGTGCCGCTTGCCCTTCTTGGCGAGTCATGGCTGGAAGGTCAGACCATTGTTATGCTTGAACCTCGACGACTCGCAGCGCGAGCGGCTGCTGAGCGAATGGCGGGTGAGCTTGGTGAGCGGGTGGGCGAAACGGTGGGTTACCGTATTCGGCTTGAGAGCAAGGTAGGGCCGAAAACTCGTATCGAGGTCGTGACCGAAGGAATTCTTGCTCGCAGGCTGCAAGAGGATCCGTCACTTGAAGGTGTGGGCCTGGTCATATTCGACGAATTCCATCTTCGCAATCTTGATGCAGATTTGGCCTTGGCACTGACGCTCAATGGCCGCGAGATGCTGCGAGACGATTTCCCCCTCAAGGTGTTGCTAATGTCCGCAACGCTGGAGGGGGAGCGACTCTCTCGATTGCTCGACGATGCCCCTATCGTCACCAGTGAAGGCCGGATGTACCCGGTCACGACGATCTGGGGAGCTCCGTATCAATCAAGCGACTATCTTGACCAGCGCGTGGTCTCGACATGCCTGGATGCTCTGGAAGAGCAGGGTGGAAGTCTCTTGGTGTTTCTACCTGGGCAGGCCGAAATACGGCGAGTGCATCAGACCCTAAAAGATCGCTTGGGTGATCGAGAAGACGTCCTGCTTTGCCCTTTGCATGGAGAACTTGAGCTAACTGCACAACGAGCTGCGATTGATCCACCTCCTGCAGGAAAGCGAAAGGTTGTGCTGGCTACCAACATCGCCGAGACCAGCGTGACTATCGAAGGTGTTCGAGTAGTTATCGACTCTGGACTTGAACGGGTACCTCGATTCGACCCGCGTAGTGGGATGACTAGATTGGACACGCAGAGAATATCGAAAGCGAGCGCGACTCAACGGGCGGGACGTGCGGGTCGTCTCGAGCCTGGTGTTTGTTATCGGCTTTGGTCAGAGGCTCAGCACGATCAACTGCCAGCCTACGGTACTCCTGAATTACAGCAGGCTGATCTCGCTGGACTAGCTCTGCAGCTGTCCAGATGGGGTGTTCTTCCTACAGATCTGAAATGGTTGGATGTCCCGCCTGCAGCTGCCTATTCTCAAGCCTGTGACATTCTAGTTCGCTTGGGGGCTCTGGGTGAGGATCGGAAGCTCACAAAGCATGGCCAAGACATGGCGGAATTGCCGGCGCATCCGCGAATAGCCCATCTGCTTCTGCGAGGTCATGCTTTCGGTCTTGGACATCTTGCATGCGATATCGCCGCTCTACTGGGGGAACGTGATATCCAGCGTGGCGCCGGTGCGGATATCCACAGTCGCCTTGCAATCGTTTCTGGAGAGCAGCGTGCCGAGCGTTCCGAGCAAGGCGGTACGCAACGTGCTAGGCAGCTTGCCAAGCAATACCGTTCTTATCTGCGCGGCCCCATTGCCGACCCGGTGACGGATCCTAAGCACCCACGGTGGGTGGGAGCTCTATTGGCCCTGGCATACCCCGACCGTGTCGCCCAACAACGTCGCCCTGGTGGTGCTGAGTACCGTCTCGCCAATGGCCGTGCAGCTACGTTTACTGAAAGCGATTTGCTGATGAAGCATTCATGGTTGGTGATCGCTGATCTGGGCAGTCGCCAAGGTCAACGTGAAGAGCGCATCTATCTGGCTGCTGACTTGGATGAGGAACTGTTCAACTCCGTTCTGAAGGAGCAAGTCCGTCAGGTGGACGAGCTGGACTGGGATGAGCGAGAAGGCGTGCTTCGAGCGGAGCGACAGTTGAAGGTCGGGGACTTGGTACTTTCCTCTGTGCCTCTGACAAACCTTGATGACGAAGCCCGCATCCAGGCGTTGATCAATTACATCCGGCGAAAGGGAATTGAACTCTTACCTTGGACTCCAGAGTTGCGCCAGTGGCAAGCGCGTGTAGCGCTTTTGCGGGATCTGGATTTGGAGAAGGGGAGCACAAGTGATTGGCCAGATCTTCGTGACCAAGTGCTTCTGGAGTCTCTAGGGGAGTGGCTTGCCCCTTACATCGGGAAGGTAACAAGGCTCAGCCACTTTGGGCAGATCGATCTACCATCAATTCTGCGCTCCCTTTTGCCGTGGCCGTTGCCGCAGCAACTCGAGGCACAGGCACCTCAGACGATTGGTGTGCCTTCTGGATCGAACATTCGAATCGACTACAGCGAGCGTCCTCCCATACTGGCTGTGAGACTCCAGGAGTTGTTTGGCCTTGCAGACACACCGCGAATTGCCAACGGACGGCAGGTACTCAAGCTCCATTTGTTATCGCCAGCGCGACGTCCTGTGCAAGTCACCCAGGACTTAGCAAACTTCTGGAAGTCGACGTACGACGAAGTGAAGAAAGACCTTAAGGGGAGATACCCTAAGCATTTTTGGCCTGACGACCCCTTGATCGCAGAAGCCACCGCTAGGGCTAAGCCTCGAGGCACCTAGACTCATTGACTATGTTGATAGCGCAGATCGGATCAGGAGCATCACCAATTGGCTCAACAACGTTTAATCCCCGAGCTCGATGCAGAAAAACTTCGTGAGAATGCTTTGACGTCAATTCGATTGGGCGTCGAGGATTTCGAGCGGTGCTTACGTCAACCTGACGAAGGGGGGATCCTGCGCGAGCTCTCTCTGCGATACGGAATCTATTCGCTGGCGTACTTTTGCTATTCAAATACAAGATCGCCACTTGCGTCGATGATCCCGCTGACGCTGCTGCCCTAATTTTCATGCCTCCTGAGGTTCTGCCCCAAAGCGATGGGGCGCGCGGGGTCGAATGGCTACCTGTGGGCAAGTTCAAGCCCACAACCATTGATGTTGCAACGATCCAAAAACGCTTCGAAGCGTTTGATATCGAGGTCGACTGGGGCGTCATCAACAAGTTGCAGAAATGTCGTAACCACCTGGAGCATCTGCACCCTGCCAATACATTGGGTGAGGTGGCGGATTTCGTAGCTGAGCTATTCCCTGTGCTTCGAGACTTCATTCAAACCCAGTTGCAGGAGCCACCGGCTGAAATTCTGGCGGAGACCTGGCAAATCATGTTGCTGCATCACAAATTCTTTGTGGATACGAGCAGGCAATGCAAAGAGGCTTGGAGTGATGCAGGGGTTCCAAAGGGGATGGAGCCTTGGCTTGATGAGTGCCAGTGCGAGGAGTGTGCCTCCTCCTTGCTAATGCCTTCGCAAGACTCATTGGACGTGGGAGAGCTGGTAGAGCACAACGATGATCGTTTCCGATACACGTGTCATGCGTGCGGCCACGGGGGGCTAATTGGCCCGTTGATGGTCGAAGCGCTTAACAAGGCCCATGACTACGATCCTCGCGATGGAGAGGAACCCAGCGTCGAAAACTGCTATCAATGTGATCACGGAACCTTTGTGATCTATGAGCAGGCATGCCTCTGGTGCGCAGCTGAGCTTGATTACACCGAGTGTTCGATATGTGAAGAAGGGTTAGGACAGGAGGATCAGGACAATGGAGGTCTTTGTTCGTATCACGCCTATACATACGAAAAAGCCATGCGTGATTGATTTCTGAATGTGTGCCTAAAACTTCAGCTAAAGAGCGGAGAAAAGACTGCCTCTACGAGTTTTTTTGTGCCAATAGCGTCCAACTGTTGACCTCGGCATCCCCAACATTTGCACTACCTCCGCTTGGCTGTGTCCTTCTTTTTAAGCTCTTGGACTGCTTCCCATTTTTTATCCGCTGCTACCGTCTGTGGAGGAGACAGCTTTTCGGGTTGAATCGGAAGAGCCGCATCCAACAGCTCGATGGCATCCAACTCCTCCATAGCTAGCCGCAGAATTTCACGAGCCGATCTTTGGTCTTGGGCTGCATGAACGAGCGCTAGGAATGAGACTGGATGTAGATTCAGAGCTTCGGCGAGTTCTTGGCTGACTTCCAATGTCGCAGACGTTTTGACTGCTTCGAGCTGGCTCACATGTGATTGTGTGACAGTCTGAGCAATGTCGTGCTGAGAGAGGTCTAGACGAGCTCTCAACAGCTGTAGCACTGCCGCATACGCTTGGCGAAGCAACATCCTGACTCCCCTCTTAAAGCAGGACGGTATGCCGCGTTTGCGCAATCCCATTCAAATCTATATATTTATCTATGTGGGATTTGGCGGAGACGATCAACGATCTAAACGGGGCTAGCCAGCTATTTCAGTGCCGGTCGGACTCATTGGTTGTCGCAAAGTTGAGACTCAAAACTGAGCAACGACCTGAGGTATCAGCACCAGAAGACTGGGGCTTCATACTGAACAATAGCCATAAATTGCCAGAGCGTGGGGGTGTAACCGTGCGCAGAATTCTTGTCGCCGAGCTTAAGAAGCGATGAACGGAAGGACGCCATCCAACCTTCGTACGATCATGTTTTAACCCGCCGTCCTATTCAGAACTGCAGCACTGCCCAACGAGGAAACCCGCTTCATGTTTATTTCAGATGAGTCTTGTTTGGTTGGCTTTCCAGGATTTCCTGGGCCAGGCCGAACAGCTTGGCGCATGGTCGAGCGTGACTCGGAAGAGCTTTGGTACCACGTCCGGATGCGCGTTAGTGAAGGCAGTAGATCGCGGTCTAAAAAGTGTATGCCAGCGGATATCGCTGTTCTGGCCCACCTGCTTTCGCAACGCAGTCCAGATCACACGATTGAAGAGGTACAGATTGTGACCGCGCCCCATATGAATGGGAGCGCATCCGATCGTATGGAAAGGCTTGTCAGCTTGGTCATCGGATACGACCAAGCCGGAGAGTGCGTCCAGCTTCATAAGGTCGCTAGCGGAGCTGTTTATAGCAGCGCTCGCGATAGCACCGACGCCGGCTCACTCACCGGCGTTCGGACAATCTACGAAGATACGAATACTGCACCTTCAGCAGTTTCGAAATCTGCTTAAGACTGACCAACACGGCGACTCCAATGAAGTTACGAATCTATTCAGATCTGCACAACGAGTTCGCTTTGTTCGAGCCCGCCCTGAGCGAAGCGGACGTAGTGATTCTCGCCGGGGACATCGATATTAAATCACGCGGCGTGGCTTGGGCGAACGAGACATTCCAATGCCCTGTCATCTATGTGTGCGGAAATCATGAGTACTACGGCGGCCACACCGAGCGCACGCTCCGCAAAATGAAAGATGCGGCAACTCCTCATGTCCACGTTCTCGAAAACGAAGCCTTGATCCTTAACCAAACTAGGTTTTTGGCCACTACAGCGTGGACAGATTACTCGTCGACCGGAGATGTCGTTGCCGCGAAACGCGTCGCCTGGGAATGGATGAACGACTACACCGTCATCAGAACTGATGAGAGTTACCGTCGCCTCCGTCCAGATGACTTGATCGTTAAATCCAAAGCAGCCTATGCCTGGCTCACACAGGAATTGGATAAGCCATTCGATGGCAAAACAGTTGTAGTTACTCACCATGCGCCGGTATTGGATTACGTGGGTGATGATCTTCCCGCACACCTGATCGCAGCCTACGCCAACGATTGGCCGGAACTCGTGTCCAAGGCCGACCTTTGGGTTTATGGACATACCCATGTCGCAGCGGATTTCATAAAGCGTGGATGCCGAGTCGTTTCAAATCCTCGCGGCTACCCAAATCAACTAACTGGTTTCGATCCGGATTTTTTGATCGAGCTTTGATATGCAGTCGGTCGGTCATGGCCCTCAGCAGACAGAATCTCGCTGCATGTAGGCGTCTGGCTCCGTTATCGGTGTCAGCTACATCTGAATCGAATACGAGAAATTACATGGTTACGTTAGAAGAGATTTCCCAGCTCCTTTACGGCGCAGGGGAGGCCACGGCTGGCTGGCAGGGCACCCAGGATGAGCTGATTGCATTGGCTGCAAAAGCGTTCCCAGGGAAGCCATTTTGCGTAGTACGGCAATGGATTTTGATCGACCTTACGGTTAACCCTGATGAGAAAGAAAAGCTCATGGGCATCGGTCTACTTCCGGTCACCCTATATGCACATGAGGTCGTTCTCGACAGAAGAAATCGATTTCAGCCTGGCATGTGGGTGCGCAGCAATTTCGGCCTGTCTTTCACCGAAGGCAGCATGTTTGAAACCAAGAACACCGTCTACCTCCTCTGGGGCCCAGGGCAGCGAAAAGAAGCGACTGTGGGGGCTGCGTTTTCCATGAAGGCCGTTTAAGCAATGAGCGCCGTAAATACATATCGAGTCATTTTGGAGCTTTGGTCGGATGCCTGAAATAATCGAGTTGGAATTCCACAGTAAGGATTTGAGTGACTTTCAGCTGTGTCGCTTGGGGCACGCGCACCGTAGACAATACACTGTGCCGATCACTGCCTTCATCAGCGATGCATTCATCGCGGAGGATACGTGCCTTGGAGTATCTTTCGATCACGTTGGGCAGGGTGACGCGTATCGTCCAGCGGATGGCGGCCTACTTAGAACTGGGAAAATTAAGAGGGCCTGGAAAGAAGGGCGTTACTGGCTTCTTGAAACTCGAGTCGGCAATTACGTCGTGAGCAGTTTCATGCGAGGGGTTGGGCGGAAAAGCTTTCTTAAATTGCTTCAATCAGGTGAGCGTTGCTGAGGTCTGATTCAGCAAAGCTCGCAAATGGTGAGAACACCCGAGCTGGCTCCAGATACCTTACTCACAGTGCCTTGGCCAGTCTCAATGGTGGGTTGCTGTTGTATTGCTAACAACAGCCTCGCCCCCAAGAGATAAAGCCCTCGATATTCGTATCATCTGCTAATTCGACCCGCTCCACCGGCGGGAGATGAAACTCCTGATATTCGTCAAAGGCCCCGTTTTCTGGCACAACGGCCATGGGAAGGCTGAGAGATGAAACGCTCGATATTGGTATCGGCCAGCTGATTTATCTCGCTCCAGACGGTGGGAGATGGAACCCCTGATATTCGCATCAGCCAGATGGTACGGCGTGCGCTACCCGGTGAGAGACGAAATCCCGATATTAGTCCGAGGCCTGTGTTTGCTGGGTCAAACGAACATGGGGCCGAGAGATAAAACTCTCGATATTCGTATCAGCCAGATGAGTCGGCCCGCGCCACCTGGTGAGAGATGAAGCAACCGATACTCATCTGAGGCCCGTCGTTGCAGGCGGAAAAATAGCCACGTAGCGAGAGATAGGCTTCAGAAGCTCCGTGGGTTTCTACGTCTTCACTGTAGGCATTACGGCTTCGCTGTGTTCTGCCAGCTATTGCTCGCGCTGTATCGTACTCAGGGCCTCGGCCAGAGCCTCATTTTTTAGTCCGTATTGCTAGCCGCTCACGCGGAGTAGCGATTGCTTTTCTGCCGGCGGCACAACGAAAATGGACAGCGCAAACAGTACTCTCCAGCGGGTACATTTTGCCTTGGAGCTCGATATGGGACATCTCAGCTTGGAGGACATCTATCCTCGCGACGTAGCCGACTACGGCCATATGCGCGTGGGTATGACCGACCTTTACGTGAAAGAAAATCACGCCATTTATGGTTTGACTACGCTTGGCGAATACCGCGAGATGACTAGTCAGCTTTTACGCGACGACGCGGTGCAAATGATCATCAGCGACAAACTGGCCGCATTGCCCAAGGACTACGATCCATGGATCTGGCGGATCAACCGCCATCGAGCCTTACGCGCCAAATACGGGGATAAATTCGATCCTTGGTCAGACGACTGACTGCCTTCAGACTTCCAATTCAAAACGTAAGGGCCTCAGGCTGGCAACCAGCTCCGCTGGCAGTGACTAAAGCAAATGCCCCATCAGCGCCAACAACTCCTTACTAATTCGGAGCGCCATGCACTCGAGCAGATACTCAAATCGGTGAACGCATAGAAGGAGAGTCAGCGGACAGCTACCCAACCGAGGATGTCCGGTTGATGACAAAAGCCGTCGTGAAAGCGGTGTATTGAGTTCCGATCTGGTTTCAAATACAGCAAAGCTGAAGTTCTCCTGGTCACCCGCTGCCAAAAAAGGCTTATACACCGAAGACCTTCCCTCGATCTCGGAGCCGGTCGCCACTCAGAAGGGGTAGAGGAACACTGCGCTTGAACAGTGTGCCGACCTATCCAGATTGGGGGCTGCGTCGGAGATGATGGAGCCATTGAGTTACGACTCTTTCAAGTTTCTATTCTATACCACTCTGGGCGGCGGTTTACTCCTCAGGCTAACCCACTAAATAATTTTTTGAAATTGTTAAAGATTCTTGAGGGCTGGGCCGAATTTGATTTAGTAAGCCAGTATTTTCGAGGATGCTATGAGCAACGACCGTTTTAAATCCCATCTCACCTTCAAGTCCTCTGAACTTTTCAGTTTCCCGGAAACAGACGAGCATTATCGTGCGACTGTCAAACTCACCCCGTCCCGTATTATTCGTGTAGTCCTAGACGACTTCAAAGCATGCTTCACCACACAGCAAGCTTATGAGATCGCGTCTGGTTTAATCAAAGCGGTACTCAACTCGTTTGATCCAAATCACCCAAAGTCGGATAAGTCTAATATCCAAACAAATCATGACAACTGGGCTGTTCTAATTGAGCGCCATGAACCGTTTGGATCACAGAAAACACTTGATTTGCTCCAGGTCGTGATGACTGGTAGAAGTTTCCTAATGGCAGGAGCCCTGCTTGATCCCGAACCGGTGCGGGAATTTAAAGATGGCGAAGAGGCTATCTATGATTTTCAGATCAGACTAGATGGCCAATACGTCTTATTGCTTTTTGGTTGGGTTGGCTGGAGGCTCAGCCGCAGTGAAGCACAGTGGCTAGCGGAGCAGCTTTGGACTGCAGTATTTTTAGCGACGAAGCCTAAAGCGCATTTAATCAGGAGTCCGCATAACGCGTATATGTGACCTGCTGCTCGTTTAGGGCAGGGCTACAGTATTCCACCACACCGGGTCTAGCTCCCCAATCACGGCACGACGTCGGGGCATGATCTCGGTGATCAGGTGTCCTTATTACATCGGCAGGCAGTAACGGGGTCTGCCAAAACACCTGATTTAACTGTGCATATTGGTGTATTGTTAGGCAACTAACTACCTAGAGAACGACCATGTCCAAACTCGCAGAATTCCGCCAGCTCGAAAAACACCTCGCCGAACAGCTCGAAGCTCTCGAGGCGCTGAAAGGCGACGCTGGCCTCAAGAAAGAAATCGAATTCGAAACTAAGCTGCGCGCTCTGCTTGCCGAGTACGGCTACAGCCTGCCGAACGTGATCAACCTGCTTGATCCGAAGTCTGGTCGTCGCGCACCAGCAGCTGAGTCCAAGACCAGCACTCGTAAACCACGCCAAGTGAAGATCTACAAAAACCCTCATACCAGCGAAGTTGTCGAAACCAAAGGCGGCAATCACAAGACTCTGAAGGAATGGAAAGCTGAGCACGGCTCCGCGACCGTCGAGTCCTGGCTGACCAAGTGATTTTGATTTGAGTACAAAGGGCCCGAGAAGGGCCTTTTTTACTGATTAACGTACGTTGATTCTAGAGTTAGTTTGCCTGCTTATGTAGATGTTCCCAACAGTTCAATCTGTTCCAGGCCGCCAGTTGGCTTATCGACTAATCGGCTTGACTGTATTTTCTCGAGCAAGCTCAATGCACTTCAATGCCAAAATGGTTGTCGGATCGACCAATGCCACTTCATGATTTTTGATCATGTAGGATTCGCTATGCTCTAGCACCAGCGGTAGCTCTGTGCACCCCAGGATGAGCACATCTGCACCCAGTTCACACAAGTGCTCTGCTGCGATCAACAGCTGGTCTTTACATATGCCCTCTGTGAAACCCGCTTTAATTCCGTGGTCTCCGTAAATCGACTCCATAACCAATACTTGGTAATCCACACCAGGGGTAATTATTTGCAACCCTGCTCGTCGGGCTGCCTCGTGATAAACCTGACTTTTTATTGTGCCGGAGGTCGCTAGCAGCCCGACGGTTTTGCCAGCGCCGTACCGCTGCACGATAGCCTCTACCGTCTCAGTCAGCATATTCACAATAGGTACACTTAGGTGCGTCTGGATGCGCTCAACAAATGCGTGAGCTGTATTGCACGGAATCGCTATAGCATTGGCTCCAGCGCTTTCAAGTCGCTTGCATGTTGCGTACATCGCCATCGTCGGATCGGTTTCGTCATACAGCAGATTGGCTGTGCGATCGGGGATCTGGGGGTTCTGTTCTACCACCATTTTGAGGTGTTCCTGATCGCGGCCAGCCGGTGTGTGCGCCACAACCTTACCCATGAAGTCGACCGTTGCCGCCGGCCCAACTCCACCCACTATCCCAAGCTTAAATGGTGGACGAGTCGACTGGCCTTTCTCCAAGGTGGCGAAGGCAGCATAAATTTCATTGATATCCAGTGCTCTGACGCCCCGCCGTTGCAGATCACCGCAGACTAACGAGAGCTCAGTCATGCCAGGCAGAATGATTGTGGCCCCCTGATCCTGAAGCGAAAGGCAGGCCTGATAAACACACTCAAGTGGCCCCCCGTCAAGGAATCCATCTTTGATGCCGTTAACCCCATACATGGCGCCCATCAACCTAGATTGCTCGTTATCGTTTGGATAAACGAGCTTGAAATCAGTGCCGAAATAGCGCTCGAACAAACCGGAGTGCCTAACATAGTCGGACGCCATGATGCCCAGCGTTGTACCGCGTTCAGCGACATGATCCACGTGCATGCGTAACGCCGCCATCATATCCAGAACGGGTATTCCAATTTCCTCTTGGATCTCCTCCCGAAAAGTGTGGCTGGCAAAACATGGCAATAAGACTGCATTGACCTCGCTTGCCTCGAAAGTCTGGCAAACCTGAAATACATAGAACTTTCTGGAGGTCATGCTGGCCCCCCGTTCTAGAGGCATCAAGACGTCTTTGAACGGGTGTTGCTCAAACTGAAAGTGATAACGACCTTGATCCTCTAAAACTGCCCTGGACTTTACCAATTTGTAAAAAGATCGCCGCCGGCCAGTGAGCCAAGCCCGCCAACGATGCCAAGTTTGCGAGCAAAGGATGACTTACTGGACGGCTTCGATTTGCCTTTCATGTTTATGTTCTCAGGCTGGGCTCAGAGTGTGATTTGAGGTGGGATAGTCGGCATGAGTGGCGTCCTCCGGCTCCTCATAAGGTTCTGATTTAGCAACTACAGCCGTCGCGATGCTATTGCCAACGACGTTGGTAGCAGTCCTCGCCATATCGAGGAACTGGTCAATGCCCAAGATCAGTAAAATGCCGGCTTCAGGTAGGTTGAACATTGGCAATGTCGCTGCAACTACCACCACCGAAGCTCGGGCTACACCCGCCATTCCCTTGCTGGTAACCATGAGTGTCAGCAAGATCAGCAACTGCTGCGTCAAGCTCAGGTGGATGTTGTAAGCCTGTGCGATAAACATAATCGCGAAGGCTTGATACATCATCGAACCGTCGAGGTTGAATGAGTATCCCAAAGGAAGGACGAAACTGGTTACGCGCTTAGGTGCACCAAACTTCTCCAAAGCCTCCATGGTTTTTGGATAAGCAGCTTCGCTACTGGAGGTCGAGAATGCCAACAGGATAGGCTCACGAATCAGCTTGCCGAGAGTGAACACAGAACGACCCAGGAAAAGATACCCCGCACCGAACAAAACGGCCCAGAGGATTGCAATGCCTAAGTAGAATTCAGCAATCAGTTTGCCGTAATCGACTAACAGACCAAGGCCTTGAGTGGTGATGGCCGCAGCGATTGCTGCAAAGACGCCTATAGGTGCCAGGGCCATCACGTAGTCGGTGATCTTGAACATCACCTTCGCAAGCTCTTCAATGCTGTCGGTGATCTTTGTGTAGCCGGCACGTTTGACGCCCGCCAACGCAAAGCCAAAAAACAGTGAGAAGACGACTATTTGCAAGATCTCGTTGTTAGCCATGGCCTCGGCAATGCTACGAGGAAATACGTGGCTAATAAAAACCTTGAGACTGAAATCGCCGGTGTTGACGGCTACTGGAGCTGCCGCATGCTGAGTGACCTCCATGTTGAGCCCCGCGCCAGGCTGAAACAGATTCACCAGCACCATGCCGATCAACAGCGAGATCACCGAAGCCGTTACGAACCATGCCATGGCCCGCATTCCAATTCGACCTACAGAGCGAGAGTTGCCCATACTGGCAATGCCGCCAACCAACGTGGCGAACACTAATGGAGCAATGATCATTTTGATCATGCGTAAAAATATGTCAGTAACCATTGAGAAGTAAGACGCGATCTCTTTGGCGCTTTGTTCGCTTCCTGCGAAATGATGACATGCCCAACCGACCAGCACGCCTAGGGCGATGCCAACTGCAATTTGACGCGGAAGTTTGTTTTTCTTCACGAAGCAATCCTCAAGTGGTTTTTTGTGCTTTTTCTACTTGGCAGGAGACAAGGACAAATTCACACGGCGCTTTATGGCGGCGATGCAGTTTTCGATTCTAAGGACAGCGTCGGGGGCGTGATGAGTAATCAAGATGAGGCTATGCGTTTTCGGAATAATTACGAAAAAGACTGCTTTATCTCGATCCCGGGGCATTACACTGCTCACTCGCAGGGTGAGGTGCCGCTATGCAAATCAAGTGGTTGGATGACCTTCTGGCAATTGCCGAATGGAAAAACTTTTCGCGTGCAGCCGAAATCCGCTGCGTGACTCAGTCAGCGTTGTCTCGACGTATCAAGTCACTTGAAGAATGGGTAGGTGCAGAGCTGGTGGATCGTGGCACCTATCCTGTCCAGCTCACCCCGGCTGGCCGAACATTTTGTGAAGAAAGCCGCGAGGCATTGGCGGGTTTAATGAGATTGCGCTCAAGCCTTCGCGAGGTAGAGCGAATGCCCGGTCGATCCATCCAAATCACTGCCGGCCACAGCCTTTCCATGACCTTCTTGCCGAGATGGCTCAAGCAGTTTCAGCAGCACAACGAGCAATTCAATGCGCGGGTCGTTGCCGCCAATATCCACGATGCGGTCATAGCTCTGGAAGAAGGCAGCTGCGATCTGATGATCGTCTATCAACACCCCTTGGCACCCATTCTTCTCGACTCGGAAAGGTTCGGGAGTTTGACCTTAGGGCATGACGCGTTCATTCCATTGTGCGCACCTAACAAGGATGGTACTCCGCTGTATCCCTTGCCAGGAACTTCCAGCAAAACAGTTCCTCATCTCGCCTACACAGCTACGACTTTTCTAGGTCGTGTTGCCGACATCGTCATCAAGAATGGCCCGACTGCATGCATGCTGGAGCGGTGCTACGAAGCGGATATGACAATGCTACTGATGCGAATGGCAGTAGAGGGCTACGGAGTAGCGTGGCTGCCCCAAAGCGCGGTCATAGACGAACTGCAGCGAGGGCAGTTGGTGAAAGCGGGTGGTGATGAATGGAGCACGCGACTGGAGATTCGCTCCTACAGCTCAATCGACAACAAGAACCCGACAATGCGCAACCTTTGGAAGACGCTCGAAGGTGCATCACGTAGCTTCCCGGGCCATCAAACTGAATAACTCATCGCTCCCAAATCTCATCAAATGTGGCCAATGATTTTGACGCATAGGGCCATTCTGAAACGTCATCAGTCTATTTTTATTGCGTGATAGGCTCGCCTCACTTTTGAGTTTGCACTGATCGTTCCCGCGTTTACGGCGACAGTTAGGAGCGGGCATGTCCAAATTTTCCCATCACGATTTACGACGCTCGATTCGCGAGTTACTTGCATCACGTAGCTGCTTTCATACAGCCTCCGTTTTCGACCCCATGTCGACAGAATCACTTCAGACCTAGAATTCAAGGTCGGTATTCTGGGCGGATCCGTGGCGTAACCGTCTGGGCAACACACCTTCCTGACACCGTCGCTTGAGGCGATGGTGTCCACCTAAATTGAAGTGGACTCCATTTTTGCCTTTTGAGCGGATGCCCATGCCACAAGTACGCCGTTCCAATTCCAAGTCCTTCAAGGCCCAAGTCATTGCCGAATGCGCGCAGCCTGACACCTCGATTGCAAATGTTGCCTTGTCTCACAATCTCAACGCTAACCTCGTCCATAAATGGATTCGGGCGCACACACAGAAAAACCTGAGGCAGCAAACTACCTTTATTCCGGTCAAGGCAGCGCGGCCGATAGTGACGCAGTAAGTTCTTCCTGCCACGATTCGAGTCGAAGTGCCTCATTCAAAAGTGGTAGTCGTGGTGAGTTGGCCGGCAGAAAGTGCATCGGAATGTTCCGCGTTCTTAAGAGACCTGCTGCGATGATCCGCATCGACACCATCTGGCTCGCTACCGAGCCCATGGAAGATATTCTAAAATTTTCATTTTTAGTTGTTATTTCAAATGCTGATGAGGGTTTGTTTTTTGTTCAGTACATTGAAAGAGTGGTTCGTAATTTTGAAAGTTTTTGATCGGTTTTGCTTTTTTTATATTGTTTTCATGGTGCTGATAGTATTGCTGGATATGGTCAGGTGTTTAGAAAAGAATTTGAAGAGTTGTCGATGCGACTTTTTAACTATTTTATCTTGTCTAAGTTTGCCAATGTATGCGACTATGTTTAAAATAGGGTTGGCTGGTTACGGTTGTGCGATTAGGGGTGTCTAAAATGGCAAGGCTTTCTGGGAAAGTATGCTTTATTACAGGTGGCGCCAACGGTATTGGAAAGGCCACGGTAGAACTTTTTCTCGTGAGGGTGGGAAGGTCTACTTCGTGGATACGGATGAGGTTGCTGGCGAGGCGCTCGTAAAGGCGCTAGCTAAGGAAGGCTACTCAGTCCACTTTCTACCTGGGAACGTTAGCATCCCAGATCACTGCATCCAGACGGTTGAGAAGACGATTGAGCTCGAAGGCCGTATAGACGTGTTGTTCAACCACGCAGGCGTAATCACTGCCAAGGCCTTTCTTGAATACACATTAGAGGATTGGGACTGGTTGTTTGATAACAACGCGAAAAGCGTTTTTATGGTGAGTAGGGCTGTATTGCCCCACATGTTGCTGCAAGGCAAAGGCGTAATAGTAAATACCTCATCAACTTCTGTGAAGGCGGTGACTAATTATGAAAGTGTTTATTGTGCGTCAAAGTCGGCGATGCATCAGCTATGTCGCGCAATTGCAGTAGAGTACAGAGATGCAGGGATTCGTTGCAATTTGATTGTTCCAAGTTTTGTCCGTACTAAACATGCAACAGAGGAGCTTGAACAGTTGCGTTCGCATGGGGTTTTTGCCTCGAAAATGACATTGCACTGATGCAGGGCCGTATTTGCGAGCCTGAGGAGGTAGCCTCCATTGCACTATTTTTGGCCAATGATGACTCCAGCTTTATTAATGGGGCTGAGATCATGGCTGACAATACTTTTACTGCTATTTAATTATGTTATACGGTATAACTCCGATAAAAACGATCGCAACTTATGGTGCGACTGCTGAGCGACTGCGTCAAGAGATAACGCTTGGTCTGATCGCACCAAGTTCCAAGTTGCCGGCTGAGCGTCGATTCGCGGATGACCTTGGAGTTGCGAGAATTACGCTTCGCGAGGCACTGGAAAATGCTGGATGCTGAAGGGTATTTAGACATTCGACGTGGTGCTAGTGGTGGGGCCTTTATCGTGGATGAAGACCGCCTACGTGCCATCTCGCTGGCACAGCTCCATAAGTCTCAGGCTGGTTGTCTACGTGCTCTGGAGTTTTGGAGGATTAACCAGCTTGTATGCGCGCGCTTCGCTGCAGTGCGGAGGACGCCGGCTGATTTGAAGCGGATGCGTGGAAGTGTTTGCGGTGTTACGGGAGGATAAGCCAGATTATGATCGTCGGAGGGCGGAAAGCGAACTCTGCCTGGCTGTCGCAATGGCGTCAGGTAATGTTTGGCTGCTCACCGCGATTCATGATTCTCTTTGCGGCGTCATTTCTACCATTTGTGGAGGTTGAGTCTCAAGATGACCATTTTCCACTGGAGGCCGTAGATCAGCTCATCGTAGCAATTCAATCCAACGACAAGAGCTTGGCGGATGCTCAGATGGATCGTATCTGCTGTGTATTTCCGGGGCGCTTCAAGTCGATCTTGATGGGCCGGAATGTCAGGAGCATTTGATGCCCTTTGCTTTGCTCTGCTCGCCTAATGATTGCCTACAGCAGAATCAAGACTAACGGTGAAGTATTTAGGAACGCGCTTTGGCTTGAAGCCTTAGGTATGCTGAAAGGCCGGATATTTTCCGGCTAGTGAGCCGTCAGCACTTTTCAAAAACGACCCCCGTCGAAATTTTCCCCATTCTCTTCATATTTCAGCCCTTCCAGTTGCTGTAAGGCGCTTCGCAGCCGCCATTTCCTGTATTACACGCGCACCTCTCCTGTGTTCGCCAATAAATGTCGACGTGCCATCCACAGGTTTGATAGGGCGAACAACGTCAGCATCTGCGCTGTGTTCTTGGCCAGCCCCCGAAAACGCACTTTTCATAGCCAAATGGCGCTTGATCACCCGGAAACGGGTGCTCGACCTTGGCGCGAACCCGAGCCTTGGCCTTCGATCTTGCGTATCGCTTTGTACAAGGCACTGTGTTTTCCATGCTTTTTGTAAGTGCTGCGCCGGGCTGCAATCTGCCAAATAACCTCACGCCCCTCGTGCTCTTCGCGCTTCTCGACCCCGGTATAACCCGCGTCGGCGCAGACCACGTTTTCTTCTGCCATGCAGCAGTTTGTCGATCTGCGTGACGTCCGCCACATTGGCCGCCGTGATCACTACGCTATGAACCAGCCGCCAGAATCTATCGTCGACGCCGATGTGGGCCTTGGCACCGAAGTAATATTGATTGCCTTTTCTTGGTCTGATGCACGGCGGGTCGCGCTTGCCATCCTTGTTTTTGGTTGAGCTGGGCGCATGAATCAGAAAGCGGCATCCACAATGGTGCCTTGGCGCAACGACAGACCGCGGTCGCCCAAATAACCATTGATCACAGCGAGAATTCCAGTGGCCAGTTCGTGTTTTTCCAGCAGGCGACGGAAGTTAGAGGATGGAGCCATCCGGATCTGCTCAAGGCTCAGTCCCGAGAACTGGCGCAGATTGTCGTTTTTGCCACAGTGCTTCTTCCATCGTAGGATCGCTGTAGCCGAACCAGTTCTTGCATCAGGTATCGCGCAAATGCTTATCAACGGATAGGCCGGACGGCCACCACCTCTTTGGATAGTGCTCGATCAAGGCGATCAAACCCTTCCAGGGCACCACCATCCATCTCGATCAGGAACAATTCCTCGCGGGTTCGCTTGCGTTTGCCTGCGTACTCGGCGTCGGCAAAGGTCATCTGTTTCATCATCGAAAAGCTCGGCGACTGGGTGTCCGGGCGATTTTGCCAAATTAGGAAAGTCTTTTTCAGAGTTTCCTTAG